GGAGGCATATGTTTACATGCACAGTGTCCCCCATTGTCAGTCCTGGTTTAATCCTAGTTTAGTCCTGGTTGAGCTCCTGTTTTGGCTGTTTTTGAGTGTCCCCGTGCTTCCAGAAGAAAAAGTTAATCTCTTGCTTTTGCAGCATGTATCATGTTGTTGTGCCCACTGCCTCTACAGCGCCGCACATGCTATTGCTTGCATGGACGTGCATAACCATTGACACATAACGCAATCCATAGATCCATGGATGCAACGCATGGTCCGGTTGTTTGTTTATTTTTTCATTTCCCAGAATATTTTGAGGTTTATGCTAGGCCGTGATAGGTCGAGAAGCCTCTGCCTATGTCCCCCAGAACGCTTCTGACTCTGCTTTACTTCCTGTTTTTTCTAACGGAGTGAAGTTAAACTATCGAACATTCTATCGACCCCATTTTATATTGTTATCGAACACGTGTCTATCGCAATTTATATCGTTATCGTTTTATTGCCCAGCCACAGGGCAATAGACCAGTGACAGAGAGAGAGACCAAAGATCAGAGGAGACGTGTCGCTCTTTCAGGCTTCTGTGAGACTCGCTCTCTGTGTCTGAAAAACCGGATGTGAGAATTGGTTTCCTTTCCTTTCTCTTCTGTCTCTCGGAGTCCACTGGTGCTGAGCAACACTGCAGAATCTGGACACACAAAGTGATTTTAATGATCTGTCAAAGACAAGTTTTAGGATATATCTATCCAGAACTAAATTGGGGAGGCTGCTTTCAGATTCATGCTTGCTAAAATCTGGAAACAATCTTCCTGAAGATGTGAGTCTAGGCCTCTCTCTGACCATGTTTTAAATCCAGGTAAATACGGTGCTGTTGAGCTGTGCATACAACTGAGGGATTTTATATTTTTATCTTCTCGTTTTTTTAATGTTCTGTGATTATTTGATTTAAGGCTATCTTGGTCAGCATTTGAGTTGCCTTGTGTATGAATTGTGCTATACAATAAACTTGCCTTGCCTTGCCTTGCCATCTATGCCAGTGTTGCCCAGCGACAAGCATCAAATCTGTACTTACTCTAGTGGAGATCTGCATGGAGGTATGGGCCAAAATAAGCACATGTGTGATAGACCTTGTGAAGATTAAATAAATGTTGGAGGCTCTGTCATTGGCCTTCAAAGGGTATGAACTCAGTATTGAGATGAAACTTTTGTTGTTGGCCAAATACTTATTTTCCATCTTCATTTGCAAATAAATTATTCGTAAAAATCAGACAATGTGATTTTAGGATTTATTTTTTTCTCACTTCTATCTTTTGTAGCTTAGGTTTTATACCTATGATGCCATTAACAGGCCTCCACTCATCTTTTAAGTGGTAAGTCTTGCACAATTGGTGGCTGACTTTATATGTTTTGGCCACTGTATTGCACCCATAAGATTCCTTGAACAGAGTGGCCGGAAAGGTGAACTTCGTTATAACGATGGAACTACTGTAAATGTTATCAATGAAACAGCGAAGTGAGGTTCCCAGCTTTATGACACTTCTATTGTTTAGTGTCAGATCTTTCATCTTGGTGTGGACCTACAGAGGGTTCTCTCTGCACTTCAGGCCCCAGCTCTCAGGACTCTTAGGGACATTGTGGACTTTCCTCTGGGTCCAACTCGTGACTGAGGAGAAAACAATGGAGATCATGTGTTTAAAACCAGTCAGGGCTTCCCAATAAGGGGGAATGCGCTGCTGGTAAGTTTGGCGGAATGATCACGTCTGCATATTATAGGGAGCAGGGACAGTGCTAGCCTGCTAGCTGAGGAGGTGATATGCTAAACTTTGATGCTCCGTTCTCACATTATGAGCTCCATCACTGTAACCATAATCCTGAATATAACTTCTGCTTATGGCCTGTGTTAATGTGACATCACAGTGTGGGATAAATTAATAATAATATAATGCATCGTTTTCATTAAGCGGCTTTTCTGGACACTCAAAGACGCTTTACAAGTATTATTCTTTTCACTCCATACACGGTGGTGTTAAACTATACTAAGCACAGTGCCTGGGGTCACACGGTCAGTCAGAGGTCAGAGCCATCGGCCCCTCGACCACCACCACACCAGTCACCACACAGACTCATTCTAGGCAATGGGGGTGTAAGTGTCTTGCAAGGACACAACGACAGTTAGTCACCAGTGGGAGTCCGTGGTGTAGGTCTTGTGGTGGCTCGAACCCATGTCTTCAGGCTCAAAGGCAGTGCTTACCACTGAGCCACTGTCGCCACTAAATGTACTTAGTAGAATGTAATTAGTTACATAATAATTAGTTATTTCATAACTCAGTGTACTGTCAAAAAAAAGGGTATTGTTTAACTCAGTCTGTTATTTTCTTCTAACATGGATTGGGATTTGAAAACATATTCTAATATAATCAAATCGGGGGTGTTGTTTATAGGCTTATTTAAAGGTCCTTTTGGTACAGACCCGAGCGTGGCCGAGGTCCTGTGCAAAAAGACCAAGGTCTGACTATTTCTCATGTAAGGAACGAGCAAGCGAGGTTAATATATGTTTTATTATATGTTATTTTTTATTTGTGCAAATAGCGATCGGTTTTAACTAGCAAAAACACACGCAACCAAAAACTGTCAAATTGGTGACATGGAAGAACTGCTTATCAGACAATTGCGGTCTCCTGCTGGTAAGTTCTCAGTCTCTTCTGTGGTCCTTACCAATGCTTTTTCGTATTTGTGAAAGTATGTTCATGTCCCACTTGGTTTTCCTTATGTGTTTTTACCTTCTGCGTCTGGAATAGATGTTGTCAATCTCTTCTTAGGAGTTGTGTTTTGTTGTGACTTGCTGGTATTACTTCCTCTGGCTCTTCGACACGTCTGGATAATAGAATTACTGGAGAATGCTCCCAGTACGTCGCTCATTTTTTTCTTTTTTTTTCCCGCGGAAAGTTATTAAATCTGATACGCGGACCAATTGTCATGGTAACGGTACGAGATGGGGAAAAATATATCAGGACGCAAATCAGCCTAATCAAGATGCGAGCGTTTGATCCAAGTAATATAATATATTGCTCTTATTTTATGGTCTCTTATGGCTGATTCTGGTGATCTACGACCACTTAAAGATTTAGCTCTGTCATAAATCCATGGTCACTAGCTCGGGCTCTGAAACTAGCTTTGTTCTGGCACTTTCACTTGTGGCCTCACTCAATTTTTTCTGCTTCTTCCTTTTTTCAGACGCTGACCCGTGTTTTAATGAGGTAAAGATGTGCGGTTGTCTGACTTGTTAACAGTAAAAACACTTAGTCCTGGCGCACTCCTGGGTTGGTTTTTACCCATTGAAACATTCTATAATGGTGGGGGGTAACCAGAGCCGCCTGAGGAATCCCTTCCTTATGACTTAAGACACCCCTTCCTGCGTTTGAGTTTGAACGCTGCTCTCCTGGAGGCTCATCTTCATCTATACTCAGAGCTCTTCCTCCTGGACTCAGCTCCAGCTTCACCTCATCTCCACCTCCTGCTCTCTGCTCTGAACCTAAACACAACATTATACTGTAATATTATAATAAAACCAGAGAGAGACCAGAGGAGACCACAGAGACACTAACAAGATGAGACGAGGAGCAGTGAGACCTCAGAGAGACCACAGAGAGAGACTTACAGTAGAGAGAGAGCAGAGAGAGAGCAGAGTGAGGACCAGAGAGGAGACCACAGAGGAGAACAGAGAGAGAGGACTACAGAGAGACCACAGATGAGACCAGATGAGAGACCAGGAGGAGAGACAAGTAGAGACCAGAGAGAGACACTACAGAGAGGAGAGTGGAGCAGTGAGAGTCCACAGAGAGAGCAGTGAGAGACCACAGAGAGTCCACAGAGAGACCAGAGAGGACCACAGAGAGACCAGAGAGACCAGTGAAGCGACACTACAGAGGAGACACAACAAGAGAGAAGAGTCCAGAGAGAGGTTACTACACAGAGAGAGCCCACAGACGAGGTACCAGTGATAGGACACTACAGAGAGAGACGAGATCAGAGATAGAACAGAGAGAGAGACCATGGAGAGATCATCAGAGATCTAAAGAGGAGAGGACCAGAGAGAGGCCACAGAGAGACCAGTGAGAGATCAGAGAGAGACCACAGGAGACCACAGAGTGACCACAGAGAGACAGAGAGAGATCCCACAGAGAGACCACAGAGAGGTACCACAGAGTGACCAGGAGAGAACAGAGGAGAGACCAACAGAGAGGACCAGAGAGAGAGATACAACACAGAGAGATAGAGAGAGACAGAGAAGAGAGCCCAACACAGAGAGACACAAAGAGAGCGACCATAGAGATCAGAAAGGAGATCAGTAGAGAGACCCAGAGAGAGACAAGAGAGACAAAAGAGTGACACTCATTTCACATTTCACATGAAAAAGGTGAATTTTGGACAAGACCGTTGTTACTGTAGGTACATAGTGACAAGGAGCTGTTTTCGGCTTCCCTCACCAACAATGTGGGAAAAACTATCGCTCTTTTGGGAGTGATGTCTCGGATTGGACACGAACTCATACTATTTACAGGATCAGGTCTAAACCTCGAGAAGAAAAACTAATCCAAAGTTCACAGTTATTATATTAATTTTATGTTTATCTTTGGACTGGTTTATTGTTTCCTTTACTGTACTGTTTGTCTGTACGTTTCTTGTCTTTCCGTGGGCTTTGTATCGTCACTTCCACCATCGCTCGGCTCTGCTCCTTCCCCCCTTTCCTTCTGATCTTTCTTCCGTGTTAAACCACATGAATCCTATACTTTTGCCGTCAGTCATCCAAGAGGCTCGCCACATTGTCCAGGTCACAGAGCTCGCCACTGTTTGAGGTCTAAATAGGTTGCCACATTTCCTCGTTTTGATGGTCTTTCTGGTCTCCTCGTTTTGCTGGTTCCTCTGGTTCCTCGTTTGCTGGTATCCTCTGCCACCTTTGTCTCCTCGTTTTGCTGGTCTCTTCTGGTTTCCTCGTTTTGCTGGTCCACACTGTCTCCTCAGCTGGTCCAGCCCATGCTTGCTCCAGTATCTGATGCTCTTGGTAGTAGTCGTAGGTGTGTGCGTAGTGGAGGTCCCAGCTCCGGCTTCAGCTCTGGATGAGACCAGGGAGGGTCCAGCTCAGGGTTGAGTTCATATTCGGATTGTTCTACAGCCAGATGGGACCACAGCACGGCCTCGCCCTGTTCGGCTACAGGGACAAAGAGGAACAGTGGGGTTATTGTAAGGAATTACCCATCTCCTTTTTTTTGGACGAATAATCATGTTTTACTGAAAAAAAAAGAGCTGTCTTGTATTAAACCAGATCGATAAGTTTATTCGGTTTCACTTGTAATAGGCAGATGTTTGAAAACTGTGAGGAGGAAGAAAAGGAGGAGGAGGAGAGTAAGACTGACCCCAGTACGAGTCCCAACGGCTTCTGGCTCCAAAGTCCTGCAGCGGCTCCCATTTCTGCTTCTAAAACACAAAAATATCACCCCCACCCCCCCCCCCCCCCCCCCCCCCCCACATAACAATACTTGAGAAAAGAAAAAACTCCTTTATAAACCTGGTCACCTCAGCTCACTCCGCCACAACAAGCAATCCTTTCTTGTGTGGTAGAAAAGCCCTGTGAGTCTACTATTAGTCGTACACAGGCGCTAAGAGCTAATTGGCTGGGGAGGCTGGTCATAGTAAGGACTAAAGCAGGCCTTAAGCAGGTCTAAAGTAAGTCCTGAGCAGGTCTAAAGCAGGTCTAAAACAGGATAAAATACATCGGACCCTAGTGTTTGTAACACTGTTTTAGGGGCCAGGAACTAGGAAACATAAATAATGATCTTTTACCTTCCAGAATAGTCTTGGTCTGGTGCTGTGGGCCCAATACGGTGCAGGGTTCTTGTCAGCCATTTCCCTGATAACAGATGAGAGTTTTTTAAACATCAAAACACATCACCGGAGTGTTTTCAGACTTAATCCACTATTAATATCTATATTTTATTGATGCACAGTTGCAATACGACATTTAAGATTGACGGGCTTTGGTACTGGTTCAGTCCTCGTTAAGAACTGCTTTAGACCTGTTTTGGGATCTTGTTCTGTCCTGATTTGTCCTGGGCTTTGGACCCGTTATAGAATTGTTTTAGGAACTGGCTTTGTGTTTGAGTCCTGGTGTAGACCTCATTCAGTCCTGTTGAGTGCTAGTTATAGAACCTGCATTTAGGTCCTTGTTCAGTCCTGGTGCAGACCTTCATCTTTAAAACAGTTTTATGGTGGGGTTTTCCTTTTCTCTTGAGGGGAGTGTGGAGATGCTCTGATGGAAGCCCCATCTCCATCATCAACTTCGATTCTTCATCCTGAACTCTCCTCTGTGTTTGGATCTGCGCTTTCAGCCGGGTCTTCCTCCTCCTCCTCCTTTCCTTCCTTCTCCTCTGCTCTCCTCCTCCTCCTCTTCTGGAAGAGAGGACCATTGCTTCAGAAAATTCATCGAGTCATTCCTTTAAGACGGCCAGAAAGCATTTTCAACTTCACTCCGGCTGTGCTGAGTTTTCCATTAGATACTTGATGTTAGTCTGACACCGTCGGTGTCTGAAAAGGTTTTAGGGAGCAGTTCTGTAGAGGGTAAAGCAGAGTCCCCTCGGAGGTACAGCAGCTATCACCGTATTATAATAGATCCATACAACCTCCAATGTTACGAGTTACGTAAATGAATTGTCTGACAAGACCTCCCACGCTGAGCGGGCCGCTACTTTTAGAAGATAATAAGTGGGTTGGAGAATACTGTAATTATAATATGTGCATATAGCACAGTGCCTCAATTATACATAATTGAAAATATGTGTTATACAAAATTTTTTTTAAAAGTTGCAGACATCACCTACGGGCCTACACCATTCGATTATGATTAAAAGAAACTTAAAGTTAGTCGTTAATGAACCAGATGAGCTGTTCTTTGTGGTCTTTGGACCAGATGAGCAGGAGGGTTAGGAAATTAGTGGGTTCTGACAAACAGGACTGTGGTGATGATCCACAAAACTCACATTCTATGACACTTATGGCCTTTGGTCGACTCCCTTTGGACCTCCCTATGGACATATGGTTTGAAACTGTTTGATTCTCTGATATGAGTTGGTGATTTCAACAGTTTGAAGTCTCTGAGATTAATTCATGTTATTATTGTAGGTGACTTGAATGAAGACCTCGGCCTGTCCCTGTGCTCTGACGATAAAGATATCTGTGTGGTTTCTAGATCCAGATGGGCTCAGAAGTTGCGGAACTCTGATTTGGCAGAGTAGATATCGAACATGAAGTTGGTGCTGCAGTACGTCATGACAAGGTTGGTCAAACTAAACCATAAATCGGAACTAAAACCAGGTCTTGTTATGATTATCAAATCCTTAATGACAAACAAGGAATTGATCGGGTATTTATATCTGAGCCTTTGTGAAAAAGGTGTTGTTATAGGTTTTGTGTTGACAAAGAGGACCACAGAAGTCTTAGCCGTGATTGCAGTATCACTTTTGGTCAGATTATTTACATGTGCGATACTTTAACCTTCAAGGTGTAGAATCTTTTTGGGACTTCCTAGCCTGTTTTTGTGTGGTAAAATTGCTACTTCAAACAGTTCAAACTTTGGATGCAGAGTCAAGCAGTAACTAGTTTTTTTCAGTACAACTGGGGTTTTAGAATATTCATATTTTGGAGCTGTCATTCCAATTTTATATTGATATGGAATCATAATTCCAAAGTCTGTGTCTGTGTGTGAACGTCCTCGCATTAAGCCAACGCGTTTTACTGGAGTTTAATCCATGCGTTCGCTCCACGTGTGTAGGCTCCACGTTTGAGATGATCCTGGTGCTGGTTCCGGTATGCGCAGGGGTGTGTAGAGGGCGCGTTCTATTCCTACTACTATTCTGCTCCTCCTGCTCCTCCTCCTGCTTTCCTCCTGCTTCTCCTCCTGCTACTCCTCCTGCTACTCCTGCTCCTCCTGCCCTCTGCTCCTCTCCTGCTACTACTAATGTGGAGCCTACTCTCATCTGCAGGCATTGAAAATGGACGCTGTGTTTTCTCGGGGGGATTCATTGATAAGATTTTCTACCTGTATGGTCTAAGTGGTTCCCAACTCCTCAGATTGCAAGCGTTTTACAAATGGCCTGGACAAAACGACACTCATTTGGGATCCGGATCCCAATGTTTGGCTGTGGGACCAAACGGGTTGAGACGGAGGTGTCTGTTTACTTCCTAACCGTTGGTTTAACGGAAGGGAGGCCACCCGGCTCGGTGTATGACCCCACGTTCATTGTGGCTGTCCTGGACATGGTGCCCAAACCTGAAGGAACGTATTACAAGTAAGTAAGTAAGTAAGTAAGCTTTTTTTATATGGGTAATGGGATCTGGGAGCGAGGTGGTGGACGGGAGCGGAAAGCGAGGAGGAAGCCCGAGGTTCCCGTCTGGGGCCAGGAAACTGCACCATCGCCGCCAACAAATGGCTGGTCCTGTGGGTTGTCCTCCCCTGTTTAATCGTCCTCTTCCTCCTCCTCTTCTGACTTCTAGATGTCTGTCGAACGAGGAGGAGTTAGTAGAGGACAAAGAAGAGAGAGAGGTTAATAAGAGAGGAGGGCAATAGGCATGAGGAGCCACAGCAGCAGTTTGATGTGGTGGATTTTGGTTTTTCTGTGTAAGGACACCACCCTCTCTGGATCCCGCTCCAATCAGCAGTGGGGGTGCGCGGGTGCCCGGGAATCGACCCACTCCCCCCTCCCTCAGAGCTTGGTGAGTACTACCTGGAGCTAGTAGCCCACCAAGCTGAAACCTACTAATGATGAGTTGTTACTATTGCAACAAACAAATCATCAGTAGGGTAAAACTAACCCTACTGAGCCCCCCCCCCCAACCCCACTGCATACCATAAATCAAATAAAAATATTATTAAGCATGTGATGTTGTATATTCAACTTTTTTGAATCACTTCAGATAGCCCTCACTAATTAACAGCTAATTAAGTGCGGATTAGTGTTATCCGAACTCAATCTTAACACACATGAGTGTCAGTTTGCACTTTTCACAGTAAGTACTGTACTGTAGGCAGGGTTATTTTGCATTTCCACCAGGGTTGGGCTGGGTTCAGGGTACTTTTTTGGTACAACCTCGGCTGTGGTTCCAGGCGAGCCGAAAGCGATTACCATAAAGTCAGCGACTGCCTATTTCACTGATTGGTCCAACGGAGTGTCGTCACTGGAAGCTGTCGTTCACCTATGCGCAAAAAAACAACTCCAACCCGCCATCTTAAACCAGGCTGACTCTGTTCGGCTATAATACGTCCTCCTCACTCAGAGATTGGAATCGCACAGAAAGCCCAAACGGCCCTGGTCGGTGGACGAGGTCCACATGTTACTCTCTTTAGGCCGAAGAAAGATTCAATAGCAGCTCGAACGCACAACACGGAGGTTTCAACAAGGTTTCAGGGAGATCGCTCTTGTTTGGTATTCTAGGCTGTGGTAATCCTGGAAAATTAACTGGTTAGTACGTATCCGTTGGCCAACGAATGTATTTACTCGTGCAAAAGTTTGATTGTCTGTGGTATATGGTGGAGCTAGTACATTTAGCTATCGAGTTGCAAGCTAAGCTAAAACGTCCCTTCCAGTGCTAGTGTGCTATAGAGTTCTCGCGTGACGTCACATGGGCTTGGTAGTTGCGATGCCTCCGCCATATTTGGAGACAAAGCAAACGCTGTGTGGTAGTGGGTGCCCCCGGCACACGCATAATACACGTTCATCTGGTGCCGTTTTTGGGCTAGAAGCATTAGGGAGAAAGGGACAATAATGTTGTTTTACCGATGCCAGCTGGCCTTACTTCACATGGCTCCAAAACAGAAGAAATCCAAGAAACGCGAGAGAATGGCAAAAGTACGACTGAGCCGTGATCGAGGGTGCCCCGTGCTAGATATTTATTAATAAGATATCCCGGTCCTCACCAATAGACGCAGAGAAGACTCCATTGTTTGAATGTAATTTCATTATTTCCACGCTAGTTATAGCCAGCCATAGATCCAGTGTGTAGCAATAAACTCCAATATTACAATAAAGTAACATTTTAAATGTTAATGGAGTAAGGCATTCCTAACACATTTCTTAGTACCACGTGCACAGAGGTTTCAGGATTGAATCTGTTAAGGTTGTAATGACAAAAATCTGTTTTAATGCGACGAAATTGCAGCGCGTAAACCCCGGAAAGTAAAACTATCACATAATTATACACTTTAGGACTCATCTGACAGAGGATCTGATTCATGGATTTAGGTGGAGTATATATTGGGGTCACGAAAATGCTGATTTTTAGATTGTTCAGTTTTCATGTAGTTCGAGAGACGTTCTAGTTTTGAACGTCCAAGTTATAAGTAGCTGGCATGGCTGTTACTCGCCGGTTGTTCCCTCCGTATGGCGGCGTGGCCTACGTGTCACGTGACCGTAGGATCCTCTATATCTTGTCTTTCACGTGTAGCCATTCTGTTTTGTGCTTGTACTTAAGTGTCGTGTGTATATTTATTTGTTTGTGATATCCCTTCCCACATGTGAGGAGATTACCAACGAGAAAGAGTGTCCGGTTTAATTAAACATTTCTCCTCATCTGGACCTGGTCTCAAGAGGACATACGAACTTGGATTTTGATATTGTTGGTTTTGCACTTTACGTTTTGTTTTATTACATTTGTGATTGTATCAAGACTTTGTTTCATTCATTTGTCTGTACTCGTGCAGAAAAGGGATTCAAAAGCAAAAGTTACCGATTTCCTAAAGGCTGTTTACTTCTATTACATTACTTTACATTTATATTGTCAGTAAATCAGTATAACACCTGGGGTCAATATAAGAAACTAAGGGTGGAGATCATTTGCTGAATACATAAAAGGTTTTATATTTGGTCAAAATGAATGTTAGGGAATTTCTATCAATCAATCAACGTTTATGTATAGAGAGCTTTCCTACACAAGGCAACATGCAATAGCGCCTCACAACCTCATTTAACTTCATGCATAAATCATCCTAATCATTAGAATTTAAGTAAACATAAAATAGACAGATTAAGAGCACAAGATATATAAAATCACACAAGTAGTTAAAAACCGTAAAACATTAAAATCACACAAGGGATTACAATCATAAATAATCATAAATAATCATAGTGCATTAAAAAGATTAAAGATAAAAACAATATAAAATCATTCACTTGTATGCACAGCTAAAAAGAACTGTTTTCAGTTTCAGTTTTAAAAACTGCTAGAGTAGACGCCTGTCTCACACTCTCGGGGACAGACGGTTCCAGGACTCTAGCTGCATGAATCTGAAACGCAGCCTCCCCATGTCTAGTTCCGACTCTTGGCACTAACAGAAGTCCAGTCCCTGTGCTCCTCAGAGCCCGAGTTGGTTCATATGGCACCAACATGTCGCGGATGTACCCCTGGTGCGAGGCCATGGAGAGACTTGTACACAAGTAAAGCTACTTTAAAATCTATTCTCTGAGCCACAGGAAGCCAGTGCAGAGGACCTGAGGACCGGACTAATGTGGTCGTACTTCCTGGTTCTAGTCAGGACTCGAGCTGCAGCATTTTGGATGTACTGCAGCTGTTTTACCGCTTGTTTAGAGAGACCTGTGAACAAGCCATTGCAGTAGTCCAATCGACTGGAGACAAATGCGTGGATAAGAATCTCCAAGTCTGCTTTAGACACAATGTTTTAATTTTAGCAATGTTTCTTAGGTGGAAGTAAGCTGATGATGTCACAGATGATATGTGGGCTATTGAAATTTAAGTCTGAGTCCGATTATTACTCCTAAGATTTCTGACCTGAGTTGAGGGTTTTAGGGAGAGAGACTGGAGGTGGCAGATAACGCTCTCTCTTTGTTTTTGAGGTCCAAAAAACATTAATTTCAGTTTTTTCTGTGTTTAGCTGGAGAGAAGTTATTTTGCATCCAATCACTGATTTGTTGGATACAGTGAAGGAGCGAGTCCACTGGTCCATGTTCTCCTGCTGTCAGGGACACATAGACCTGAGTATCGTCAGCATAATTGTTGATAGGACACGTTATTACTGTGTATTAACCTACCCAGAGGCAGCATGTAATATTAAACAGGAGAGGCCCCAGGATTGAGCCCTGTGGCACTCCGCAGGTTAGGGCCAGATGGTCTGAGATACAGTTTCCGATCTCCACAAAATACTTTCTGCCTGTAGGTAGGATATAAACCAGCTTAGGGCTGTTCCAGAACACCAACCAAGTCCTCAAGTCTCTGAATGAGGATACCATGATCGACAGTGTCGAAAGCAGCACTTAAATCTAACAGGATAAGAACTGAGACTTTTCCTGCGTCAGTGTTTAGTCTGATGTTCATTTGTTACCTTCACTAGAGCGGTCTCTGTGCTGTGGTGGGGTCTAAAACCAGACTGGGAACATATCAAAAGAGTGATTGATTATTAAAAATTCTGTAAGTTGTTGATAGACAACTTTTTCTAGAATTTTACCCATGAAAGGCAGATTTGAAATGGGCCGATAACTTTTAGTGCCAAGGCATCCAGACTCCTCTTTTTTAGGAGGGGTCTGATGACTGCCGTTTTCAGGGCCATTGGGAATGTTCAGATTCAAGAGACATATTTACTATATGCGTGAGTGAAGGTAAAAGACTGCTCAGAACAGATTTAAGAAATCTAGGAGGTAATACATCCAGGCTACATGTAGAAGAACTCAGACTTGTAATTATCATTTGGGACAGTTTCATTTTGTACTGGTGTAAAGTGTGTCAGCCCAAAAAGCTTCACTGGCTGTTGGATTGTAATCTCTACTGTGGAGGTGATGGCATTTTTGATGCCTTGGACTTTGTCATTAAAAAACTCTGCAAACTCATTACATTTGGTTTTGGAGGTAAGCTCTGATGGCATCTTAACAGGGGGATTTGTCAAATTATTTACTGTTGAGAACAGAACGCGTAGATTGTTACTGCAACCTTCGATTGTTTCGGAAAAATAAGTTTCCCTCGTTCTACGTAGCACACTGTTGAACTTGCACAATGCATCTTTGAAGATCTCATGGTCAACTTGGAGATTTGACTTTCGCCACTTCCGCTCGGCTCTCCGGCACTCTCTCTTCTGTGCCCTGACAGAGTCTGCTTTTGTCCATGGCGCCTTTTGCTTATTTGTAACAATTTTGACCTTTACAGGAGCAATCGTGTCCAGAACATCCAAAACACTAGAGGTGACAGAGTTAAGTAATTCATCCACAGTAGAACACAACGTGTTATCAAAGTTTATCATCCCCATGAAAAGTTCACCTGTATTTTTGTTTATGTGTCTTCTTCTTCTAACAATTGAGGATTCAGCTCGTGCTTTACTATTGAGACACATATCAAAAAATACACAGAAATGATCTGACAGAGCAACATTGGCCACATTTACATTTGAGATATTAACCCCTTTAGTAATTAGCAGATCGAGAGTGTGTCCTCTGCTATGGGTGGGGCCACTCACATGCTGAGTGAGACCAAAGGTCATCAGTGAAACTATGACATGACTGTGGCGGCTTGTACACAACAATAATAAGAATAGAAGATTGTTTTTGTTCTATTTTAAAAGAGACATACTCAAATGAGGAAAATTTCCCAAGAGGTACTCTATGGGAGACAATACAATCTTTAAAAACTGCTGCTGTGCCTCCTCCTCTTTTATTTTCTCGAATTTCTGATTCAAATTTGAAATTTGGTGGTGTTGTTTCTATTAAAACTGCATTTTCTGTATTATGGTCAAGCCA